AAAATGTCTTGATTTTTCTTTTGCTTAATAAATAATTATTTCTTCCACTCATTTTTAAAATACTTAATTTGATTTTTTAACTTTTTATAAAAGAATTTTATATAAAAATTTAACATATTATATAAATTATAATTGAATATTTTTTATCAAATGAAAGTACTTGACAAGAAATTTATATAAAAAACTTTTCAATTGTTATTTATATAAATTGTTAAATTTTTATATAAAATTTATCTAAAAAATAAAAAAATTAAATTATAATTATTAAAAATGAACAAAAGAAAATTTAAAAAGATTGCTAGTTTAGCTTGAAAATTAACATTTTGCCATTAATGAGAAGCTTATCTAATAGAAATCATTAAAAGTTAAAAATGAAGTGGAACCGAGATGGAAAATACGGAAAATACCATTAATAGCTTGTTTCTTCAATAATAATGATTATTTATTAGTTAAATTATAAAAATAGATTAACATTGAGAAAGTTTTATAGAAATTTAAAAATAGTTAAACTTTAATATTTAATTTTTTTCTTTACATTAACAAATATTTAAAGAACATTTTTTAATATATATATAGTAAAAAATACGCATTCTTGATTCGCTCTGAATTTAAGAAAATATTATTAATATTAAGTCTTATTAATTATTAGATATTTCTAACTTTTATATGGTTTAACATTCTCACTGGTTATAGGGATGGTAATTTCTCTCGATCCCCGCGAGACCTTGTGAGGATCCCTACCAGAGGGATGGGGCGGGGATGAGTGGTATTTTCCCCTCACAAAATTATGCGTGGCCTTGCAGGGATCCCCCTCCTCGTAAAAAATTTACAAATATATAAATTAATTTTATTTTAAATTTTATTCAACTTATTATCATACCCAAACCCAAACTCAAACCCAAACTCAATCCAATAAAAATTAAATTTAACTCAACCCAACCCAACCCATAAAAATTAAAATTTACCCAATTTTACACAACCCAACCCAACCCAACCCATTATTAACCCTAATCCTATTACCGTATCATCTCATTAGTCATCACTCACTCTAACCTTCCCCTTGCTGCCGTCAGTCTTGTGTGCCATCATTCTGAAAAGAATTTTGCTTCCAAGATGAAATGAAGAAAAAAGTAAAGGAAATTTGAGGAATTAAATGATGAAATACGTTTTCTTTGAGCTTGTGAATGATTTTGAGGCGAAGTCGGTCGAAGTCGCCATCGTCCTTGAGCTTTGCTATCACATCTTCTCTACTTATCTTCCCGGCTACTTCTCCCATTGTCTCTAGGCAAACTACCAGCTATGCCAAGTTCCCCTGTAGAAGCAAACCATTTATTTGCTTATTTTTGTTTTGCTGCTTCGAAAACACAAGCGCAGAGTTTGTTCCCCTGCACCTGCAGAAGCAAATCTACTTATTTTGCTTTTGCTGCTCTGAAAGTTCCAACATTCAGCTGTTTTGCTCTTCTTCATCCATCTCACTAGGTGTTCTTTTGTTGTTTCACATTTTCATCACATTGAACATGTTTTTCTTTTTTTTTTTTTTTTCTTTTTGGCTTTTTGGTTCTACTTGTTGATTTGATCGCTAAATTCGTTTTACTTGTTGATTTGATTCTTAATTTGTCTCTTCGTTACGAGATCCAGAAGTAGATCTACTAGATTTTTTTTTTTTTTTTGTGGTTTAGATCTATTAAATGTTAATCTTTGATTAATCTTACATTCAAGCAAAATTTTTGATGCAATAATTGATGTTTTTCGTCCATAAATATGATTTTCTCTTTAAGTCTTTGGGCTCCCTAATTTCTTCTTGATTATGTAAAGACTTAATTTTTTTTTTTTGATATAAATTGACGGAAAATGGGGGATCTCAATTGCGGGAACGAGAATGGGGAGGACCTCCCCGGTCCCATGAGATCTCATTGCAATCCCTAACCAGCCATGACTTATAAAGGTGCCAATAATTAAGAGGGCATAATAGTAATTTTAAACCAACCAAAAATGGCAATCATGATTTTGATTTTAGTTAGCCGGTGAGGACCTCTCCTTTAATAGGGGAAAACGGTAAATTTTTCCCAATAAAAAAAAGAAAAGAAAAGAAAGAAGACAGTGTTAATTGAGAAAAGGATAAGAATTGATGAACCCTCTAATTTAATAAATTTTATAATAAATTTATTAAAAATTATTATTTTAAATTTAAATGAAAAATTAAAAAACTTAAAATTATACATTTTAATAACTAAATAATAGATATTATTATATATATTAAACCAAAAAATATCCGTATTATTTTTCTCTTTCACTCGTTGTTCCAACTTGTGAATTAATTGCTTCTTTTTAGCCAACCACCATCTGGCCTAGTCCCCATAAATCTTTGAAAAAGAAGTGGTGTCACTAACATCCAGGGTTAAAGCCCGGGTCCCATTCAGTCATCCCCCGCGTTATCTACCGTGTTCAAGAAAGGCGTAAATGTCACCGAAAGGATGGTTCAATGGTGAAAATTTTAAAATAAAAATTTTAAATTTAAATTTTAAATAAAATAAAAAAAAACTTAAATAAAAAAAAGAGCTATCGTTTTTTATTTAAATTATTATTATCTGATGCATAAAAAAAATATAAATGTTAATTTTAATTTTAGTTAAGAGGGCGTAATAGTAATTTTCAACCAACCAAAAATCGGAATCGTGATTTTTTTTTTTTTGGTACATGGAATCATGATTTTCATTAGCAGATAAAGACCTCTATTTTAATAGGGGAAAGACAAGGTTGGTTTTTCCAAAAAAGAAAAAGGAAAAGGGTGGTTAATTGAGAAAAGGGTAAAGATTGACCAACCCACAACTTGTGAATTAATTGCTTCTTTTTAGCAAACGACCATCTGGCCTAATCCCCATAAATCTTTGAAAAAGAAGTGGTGTCACTAACAACCAGGGTTAAAACCCGGGTCCCATTCGGTCATCCCCCGCGTTATCTACCATGTTCAAGAAAAACTTACTTAATTAGTCTAAGCTAAGATTTTGAGTTCCTTACAATTTGAAAAAGAGAAAGAGAAAATAAGGAGTAATAGAATGTTTAATATGGGAAAAAAAGGGGATATAAATTGAAGGCTGTAGGCGGGACAGGCGGGACTAAGATTCCAAGAATAATTTTACTTTTTTTTTTTGGCAGGCGAGAAGACTTCCCCGTTTTCCGTTGATAACTTTAATGGAGGTTTTGGTTTTTCATTATATACCATCTGTAATTTCACCAAACCAGAAGTCCTTCCTCAGTCCGTGCTTGCACTTCAGGATGACCTGCAAAGCTCCGAGGTGGAACTCGAGGTAGACACTTCGATGCTTAAGTCAGCAATAATCGGGGCAATCTGTAGGGCGGAGATAAAAAGAGCTTAGGGTTGGTTTCAATTACCTTTTGACATGGCCCGGAGGGGGTATTTATAGGATCCAATGAGGAATCCACGTGGCATGCCAAGCAAGATAATCGGAGCCTGACGTGTCCATCCAGACGATTATCCCGGGACCGGGAATTTGAGAGGTATTTAGATGCACAGGTTTCCACCGTACCTGTTGTGCCACTCATCATAAGGAATCAGGTGCGGGCATGCTTATTGTCATTATCATGAAGCTATTTGAGCGAGAAGCTTTGGATTCATTCCTCACTTCGGTCATCAAGAGATTACTGTAGCAGTCCGAGTCTTGGCACCTCGGACCTGTCCTTACACTATTCCCCCCCGAAGTCATTCACTTGTGAATGATGTTGCTGGGGATAATGAGGGGAGTGTATGAATAAAGAGGATGCGGATAAATCATAGAAGTAAAAGGAAGAAATAAAATTTGTAATTCGAATGCATACATAGCCGTATGCGATAAGAAGAGAGTGTGACCAGAGCAATTGTGGCCGTAGCCATGGTAAAAATAATGACCGGAGTCAATGCGGCCGAAGCCATAGTAAGAGATGATGACCAAAGTCATGGTGGCCGGAACCGTGATAAAAAATGATGACTGGAGTCATAATGTAACCAGAGTCGTGATAAAAAACGATGATCGAAGTCATAAAGGCCGGAGCCGTGATGGAAAATGATGACCGGAGTCATAATGGCCGGAGCCGTAATAAAATATGATGACCGGAGTCATAATGGCCGGAGCCGTAATAAAATATGATGACCGGAGTCATAATGACCAGAGCCATAGCGAAACGGATGATACTGGGTCACTATGACCGAAGTCGATGTGAAACATGTAATGCAGGATCGTTGTGGCCGAAGCCGAAGTGAAACACTTGCAAAAAACTGAGAAAGCGTATAAGTAAGCGAGAGTGTTGAAATGAGTTTAAGTGAGCCTGACTGAGAAGTCTGACAAAGGGGTAATGCGTGGTGTGACAGTTGTCCTTGGAATGACGTGCGCAATAAATGCGACCGTAAAAAGATAACTGTTACAGTTAAACGGGCAAGTTTTAAAAAACGAACCGTCGAATTCAAAACGTTACCGTTTGGGGTTGGCCGTCGAATTCCAAATGGTGCGAATAGGAACCGTAAGATTAAATGAATCTCATCCGTTGAGATCTAATTTTGCCCAGAAGTATAAATAAACATTTTTTCTGCAGAGAGAGGTTTACGTGCATTTCTTTTCCTGCAAAACTTCTGCGAAAAACTTTACTGTGCGTTTGTTGAGCGTGAACTGCGGTATCAACTGGGGATCTCTACATCAAGTCTTTCGAAACCGAAACCGAAATCAGGTAATGTATACGAACCTCTGATTTTGAGTTAATCGAAGTGTCTCTCTCCTTTCTCCTTTTCTGTGATTGATTTAAAGTCCTTTGAAGGAAGTTAGGGTTAGAGGTGAGGAGGATTTTGAATGTGCAACAAAAAAAAAAGGGTTTTTTTTTTTTTTTTTGGGATCCTGACTTATTCCTCCCCC